ACTGTCTTTCCAATGTTGAAGTTAAATCCACTGAGTCCTCCCTGTTACTCATTCTGCCTCATCAGTTTATACTAATCATTGTCCAAATTTTCTCAAGCCTACACTGGAATGTATTTTAAATTTGGTATGCCTAATTAATACCTTTGTTTAGGTTTTCATAATATTTTATCAGCAATAAAACAATATGTAGCTTCCTAAATGATCTTCTTGCTACCAAGATCTCCTTATTTTAAACCATCTTCTATTCTATGATAGTCTGGTTGTGTTACTATCATTCTTAAAAACAGTAACAAACCTTAAATGTCTTCAAAGGTAGAATGCAAAATAGCTTAGTTTCACTGCTGTTGCTTCTGTTTTCAACCTTACCTTGCTGTAACTTTTTAGATCATCTCAATCTTTCCATTCTATCCATATGAAGCTTCTCTGGGGTTTTTTTTGTTTTTGTTTTTTACATCTTAACATTTTCATGTTCTTCAAAATAGTCTTTAATCCTGCTTTCTACTTTGAATATTTACTAGCAAAATAAATAGTTTCTTTGAAATAAATTTTACTAATCTAAATGAGCTAAAATGTTCTCCAGGTTTTTCTCCAAGAGGATTGCAGTGGTTTAAAGGATAGTAGTGACTGTCTTATGATTCATTGTTAATATAGTTTTGTTGATGGTACACCTGATGATATAACTAAATAAATGAACAAACAGGTGAATGGATAAAACAATAAAATAAAGAATGAATGGCATTGTTGAATAATGCATATTTTTATTTCTTCCATTTTCAATGCCATCACTTTTTTTTTTTGGGGGGGGGGATCATATTAACCAATCTTACTATATGCCATCATTTTTAAGACATTAAAATGATAGCAGTGTTTTACGATGCACTGTCTTATAATTTCTTTTTCACCTACTAGTTTTGGTTGGGATTTTATTTTGCATACAAATAATGGCTGCAACAAACAAGTGAACTAATTTTTATAAGAAATATTATTTTACATTATGTATCCTGTTATATTTATGTTTATATGTTTATAGCCGTAAAAGCTGGTGTACTTATACTAAACATGTTCAAGCATAGATAAATATTGCTGAATATTATTTAGTCATTGCATATCAATATTTATGGTAAGGTAAGCACATAAAGTTGTTAATATTCAGAAATTGGAATCTGCTAAGATTTTTTAAAGCTAATGAATTTATTTGATGAATTCTCTTTTTTCCCCTTTATTTTACAATAATGACATCTACTTTATTTTATATTATTAGCTTTGGTACTTTAAATCATTTAAAAATTGAAATGTTCTTACTGAGAAGGAATTCAATGTATTTTATGCTGATTAATTTTTGGTTCCCTCACTAGGGAAGACAACACATTAGAATATATTAGTTTACCTTTAAGCACACACTAAATTAGGTTTTAAGTTACTACTAAGTTAGTTTTCAAATTACATTACTTACTACTGGAAACTGTACACTTGAAAAGTTACAGAGTGTGTGTTTTTGCTTGTTTTTGTTTTATTTTGTTTTTAATCTGTAAAGACTCTGCTTTTAGCTGTGAGTTTGGAAAATCCTACCAGATCACACTAAATACTAAAATTATTTCATGGTATGACCTAAAAATCAGATTGAAGCTCTCACGTAAAATATGGTTTTCCATCCATCAAAGACTAGTTTCTCTGACATGTACAAAAGCAGAGTTAAATATATAAATGTGTGGGTTTGATTGTTAGTTACCAGTAGTGACTTTGTTCCTTGGAACTTTATTTTCTGTCAAACATTTATTCATTTCCATAGACTTCACCTTGGCATCATAAGTCCTAGTGACATATGGCCAGATGCTTTTCTGAGGATTTAATCCTTGTAAGGCCACCACATGAAATCTTGGGCCACCTGTTATCTAAGAAAATAAAACAAACCTTCAACACATATGCTAAATATTCAAGCATCATTGGTTACTCACAGGAATCTCCTTTAAAGTAGTCAAGTTAAAATTATGTACTCTTGAAAGCACATAAGACAATGAAAAACATAAATCTTTGTGCAATGCCCCTTAGAAGTAAAATGACTTCAAGTAAAAAAAAAGGCACTGAAGATTTTTTATTGGGAATTCTTTATTCCTAATTTTAACACTGTTGCACAAAATGTTGAATGGTCTTTCAATGGATTTTAAACATGCCAGTTAGGGGGGGGGAAATGAGAGAAGGAAAGATAGGAAGGAAACTTGGAGGAAGAGGTCTGGGTGTCAGTTCTCAAGTTTGCTAACCATGTGACTTTGGATGAATCACTTTTATTTTTGGTACTTTCAGCTATTTCTTATGTAAAGTGAGAATAAGATTCCTTTTTCTAGGTAGCCAGTTAGCTCAGTTGGTTAGAGCACATTGCTCATAACACCAAGGTTGCCACTTCAGTCCCCACCTGGGCCACTGAGCTGCGCCCTCCACAACTAGATTGAAACAACTAATTGACTTAGAGCTGATGGGTCCTGGAAAAACACACTGTCCCCCAATTAAAAAACAAACAAACAAAAAAAAACGCTCTTCTATTTATTGCAATGCTTTATTGGAAGGATCAAATTGGATAATATATTTGACAGTTTTAATATGTGATGTGACTGACAAATAAATAAAAGTACTACTAGAAATTGAATCAATACCCATTCTTGAGATGCATATTTTATTTAGGCATAAATAGGGTAACACATGCTTTTTAAACTTCTGTGGCAGTACCTAGGAACCACTGTAGGTGTCTTAGCATTGACGATATCAGGAACTACATATACATTTTATTCATTATCTCACTTAATCTTTATAACAATTCTCTGAGATTACCAATTTCATTAAGCTCTCTGGTACTCAATTTTCCAAAAGAAAGAACTCAAGGAAGTCTATGATTCCAACCAAAGATTATACATTAATCAATATTTATGCTTTCAATATATGTGCATGAGAATATGAAAATTAAGATAATTCTTACACATTGAGGAACCAGAAACTTAATAGTGTAGCAAGCCATGCAAATATTTATACAAGGTAGTATATGTGATGACTTCCTAAAGGATGTGGCAAGCGAATTTTAGAGCAAGGTAAAACCATGTGCAAGACTAGTAAATAAGTGATAGGATGGCCTTTTTTTGTGAAATACTGTTTCATTGAGGAATACAAGAAGATAATCAAAGATGAATAGAGTAGCACCTATTTCACTTTTGTAAGTGAAATGGTATCCTATAAATAATTATGCTAGGATACTAAGCCTAAACCAGGATTACCTAGGCAAACTAGGATAAATAGCCACCAAAATAATGCCATTATTTTATGAGAAATGAAAATAAAAACATCAAAGATTTTAACTCATTCTTAAAAAAAATAACACATTCATAGAATACTTTTATATTTCAAAGGTATGAATTATTTCAGTTGTAAAGTTTGTGTTATTCAAACATACTTTACCAAAAAATATTCAATTAGCATGGTACCAATCACTTTCTGCACTCTACAATATTAAAAAAATAATAATAACTATAAAATCAACAGTGTTTTTAGATTGGATTCAATCTTATTGAACTAGTAAATGCATTATTAGTCATTTATGCCTGAAACCATCTTGCACCCTATTTATTTTAGTATTTATTTCAATGGGTACCATATCTACTTAGAATTCAATTTCAAATACTGGTCCAAGCCAGTTATTCAACTGTCTCCTCTCACTACATTGTTATCCTCTGTACTTGTTAATACAGAAGAGGCTCAATATTCCTGGGACTTTGAAACTGAAAATAAGGTTATTTATTTATTTATTTGTTCATTCTCTCCTCAATGCCTCTTTTCTTTCCCCTCGTCTCTCCCTTTCTCCCTTTCCTTCTCTCTCTCTCTCTCTCTCTCTCTCTCTCTCTCTCTCTCTCTCTCTCTCTCTCTCTCAGCAAAATACTGCTCATCATGAAACAATGAGATGTTTCAGCAATGTAATATTCTTTTCACATTACCGTAAATAACTATCAGTAAAGGATATTTTTTTCTGAAAATAACTCTTCTAACATACTCTATGCCTCATCTTATGATTTATTTGCTATATAGTACATTTATTCAAGATTTGTAGCTCTTCCTTGCCCACAGACTGACACGAGTTCTGTGAGCCCACCCACAGCTCCTGATTAACTTCCACTCCAGTTGATCAGTTATCCTCACATTTACTCCATATTGGCAGATTTTGTGATTACCTTTTCATATCCCTTATTTGAATACTACTTATGTGGAAAACCCCTTTTCCTGCCCTGTTAGAATTTTCCTGTTCTTAGTAGCAGAACTAACCTGTTTGATGGAAGATGTTTTGGCTAAAATGTTATTTGAAGTCAAAAGTTTCCAAGGGAATGACAGATATTAGTGATTGAGGGTTAGACTGAGCTAAAGTCTCTGATGAACAGACAAAATTCAACTGCTTTACTTCTTATTTTTTGCTTTCTCTTAAATTTTCCCACATTATTCAAATATTAATAAGAAAGATGTTTTCAAAACATGCAAAAACTAAAACAAAGAACATATTTTTAACATAAAGGAGCACCTTGTTATAAATACTCTGGTGATTATAAAACTCATGTTGCTAAAGATACTGAATTAAATATTATCTAAGGCTTATCAACAGTGATCCGTTTGGAAAAGCTTATTTTACATAAAAGAAGTAACTGAAGAAATTTTCCCAGTTGGTAATTCAGCTCAATAGTTGCTAAAATTGAAATTGGTAGCACTGTTGTTCTCTGATATCTCAGTGGCTTATGTTAGAAATTTACCTAATACTTCTTAAATCCCATTTCAGCCAATGCAGTCAGTTTTGTAGTAATATACATTAAATTTTCTCAAGCTATTAGGCAAACAATATTTCTAAAATATGTATATTTTACTAATCAGGTCATAAATAAAAACTGCCACCTATTAATTCAATATAGCAATTACATGAAAATGCAACAAATGCACATGAACTATTAGTTTTCACACCTCTTAAAATTTTATTTCAGCTGTGAATGTACATCTGGATGGACTGGGCAAAACTGCAGTGAAGAAATGAATGAATGCGACTCTAGCCCATGCATGAATGGAGCTCTCTGTCATGAATCTACCATCCCTGGGCAATTTGTATGCCTGTGCCCACCCTTTTATACTGGAAAATTTTGCCATCGACACTATAACCCCTGTGATCCACTCACTGACCCTTGCAGAAACAATGCGACATGCTTGACTTTGGTAGATGGAAACCATTATTGTGTTTGTAGAGAAGGTAAGAGCTTATATTTGTTTTAATATTCTATTTTGTTTTTGTTTTGTTTTGTCCCTATGGGTGATGGCTCCTTAAGAATAGATGAGAGAAAACCTGTATACATTGGAGGGGTGGGGGAGCAGCTGACTCCAAATTCTGGTATTTAAACATGCTGGGGAAATAATCTAAAAACTTAACCTAAATAGCAAGGGAGGAGGGGGAAAAGCGTGAAACTTTGTAGCTTTTGGATTTTTTTTCTTTCTTTCAGAAATCCTTTCTCTTTCTTTGTTAACAATTTCTCTTTCCTGAACAACCTTGTCCATGTGGCTTTCCTGATAAGAGCAGTTAGTTAGAAATGGGCATAAGTGCAACCTAGGGTAATGAAATGCTTCTCTGCTACTTTTCTTCTAGAGCTATCGAGAAACATTACTTCCTTCTGCTTAGATTGTTCACCTAATATCCTGTGACTCCGGTGACTACTTTGTACTATGTGAGCCCAAATAAGAGAGATAGAGAACGGGCAGTTCAAAGGGCAGTGATGGAGTCCCTGAATGCAGCCATACCTGAAACCAGCCGACCTCTAACTTTTTGGGTGATGTCAGCCAATAGTTTGCCTATTATCATTAAAGATGTTTGATTGGGAATTCTTCAGATGTAACTAAAAGAGGTCTGAGCAATGCCCAGGTAGTCTGCGTACAAGTTCACTGCTTACATCTGCTGACTACACAAGAGCTGTAATTTTACCAGCTTCAGCAGGAATGCTTCTGCCATAACACTAGCCCGTTACAGGTGTCAGTATAATTGGAATGTGTCAGAAGCACAATATAAAAACCACATTGTGTTTAGAGGTCTTCAACTATGATTTATTTTTTAATAATCACTTAGGGTTCATGTCTCTTTCCTAAACACTGGTTCTACTGAGTTCTTTGAAGATAAGAACAACACTTATTTGTTCTCCTGTCCAAAAAGTCCAGATTGGACTATAACAATCAATTAGTTATCTTAGTCAAATCTATTTCTGTTTGTTTTTACAAACCCTCTAAAATTTTGTGATGATGTAAGGTAATCTATTATAAGAATATAGAGGCAAGTCCTTGAACCTGTGTACATGACAGAAACTTCTTGGCCTTCGGAGGGATTGTAACTAGAAACTAAAAACTTATGAGTAATTGTTTTGTTGTTTTTTGCAAAATTGATATGGGTATAAAGCATATAATATGGGCATATAGAGTATATGGATAAATGTTTTCAGGCATGAGGCAGAAAAAGGAAGATTGAACAAAATATGAGGGGAGCATTTGATGCCCTGCAAACCTCAGTAATTAGGAAGTATATAATTTAGAGGAATCTTTTTTTTTAAACAAAAATTGAAAGTACAACTTTTTGAAAAATTATTCAATAGCAGGGGTGTGGCTAATTTCTTAGAGATTTAAGGCTTAAGATCTGAGAATTCAGCATATGTGTTTCTGAAATTCTGTTACCCGGTAGGCTCGATCACAATTTAAATGTGAGTATAAATAAAATCCCAGAGCCAGAGTAATAATGTGAGTATATCCTAGACAATTAAATTATAAATGGCATTGAAATTCACCTTGAAAAACCACCAAGTAGAATAACTTAATACTTTGATTTATGCCAAATTGAATGCCCAGCAGGTAATAATTTTGGTTAGTGCAATTGCAACCTATAGTCAAAACAATCTAATCCATTTTGGTGCAGTGGGAGCTACTTAAACCTTATAGGTGTAGTAAAGCAGCAGAACTGTTGTGATCATGTTTGCAAGAGAAAGTATGGGCAATGCTTCTGTTTTCTGATTAGAACTGAGGGGAGATCATTTGATCCCTGTGAACACTGAATATTTCTAACAGAAAATAGGTAGACAGAAAAGCATTTAGCAGTTATAATTCAATACCAGTTTGCTTTATATATAATCCTATTTGTATAAACAATGCCTGTCATAAAAAAATACATATCAGTGCTTTAACAAATTTAAAAATAGCACATAGAGGGCTGGCGAGTGGCCCAGTTGGTTAAGAGCTCGCTCAAGATTGTGAACTCTGAGCAACAGTGGTTCGAATCCCAACCCGAGCTGAGCTGCCAGTGAGCTGCCAACAGGTGCCAGGATGGCTCAACTAAAAAAAAAAAAAATAGCACATAGAAAGCCAGATATAATTTCATAAGACCCCTGGAAACAAATGGGGTTCATTCTTGGTACTCTAATAGTGTTAACTTTGGTGATTTAGTATGCAATCAATTTACACACCTCAAAGTTTATTTTATAGTACACATGATTTTTTTTTCCCTCACTAAACTATGCTCTGTACAACACACGTTAATCTTGCAGCTACATGTTGGTAGTGTTCTGGAAATCTAAAAATTGTGTTCTTCATTAACTGATTCAACAAACATATTGATTTCCTACCACATGTAAAGTCTTGAGCCAGGCTCTGGGTAAATTAAACATGGCAAAGACATGTCCTCGAGGAGTTTAATATTCAAGGGAGAGACATATAATTTAACTAACCATTAACGTACCATGTAATAAGAGCTTTCCCATTTAAGACAGAGATATGCATGAGAAAAGAGGGTTTGTGTATGCATACCCCTGCTTTCTTGTTTAGTGTGACAACTCTGAGCTATGTTCCACATGATTTCTAAGAGGGTCTCCAGCAGCCCAGAGCCCTTGTTGCCCACAGCAATCACCTGCTCAATAAACCACTGCCTTTCCTATTTTATTTCCCCACTCCCTTGAAATAATTCCTGGGATCTCCTCTCAAATAAGCTACTCGCATGCACATCGTTATCTATGATCCTTCTTTAGGAAGGATCTTAAACTACACCACATAGCAAACCCATCGATGTGGGAAATATGATTGATCTAAATCTAGGCATGAGACTGGAATATTGCCATTAAGAGCCCTTCCCTGGAATTGATGCTAAGAGAAGTTTTCTTGCCAGTTTTTCAGTTGGTGCAGCCAATACCATGTTCCCTTCACATGGAGATCCAACCGTGTGCAGTAAGAGAGAAATGTTTGTCAAATAACTGGTACTGGCACTTCTTATAGTTCTTGTTTTAATTCTGTAAACTGCCTGATCCTTGTCAGCTAGGTTATCAATAAACCTGATTCTTTGTCTAAGTTAGTGATTTCATGTATAGTGTATGTGAGCCAAAGAGTAATGTCTAATGCCCACAGTGAAGGGAAAGAGCTAAGTAAGCACGAGGGGTTGAATAACTCAACTTCAGGCTGGTGGAAGTGGGATTTAAAAACAACATGAGGGTGACAGAGGTAAAGATGACTCTAGATGAAATGCAGGTGAATATAGATATGTACCGATTACAGTAGAGTTTCCATATTAGCATGTATGTGTATACTATGAGATCTAAAATCGTTTTCTTCGTAAAATATATTTGTTTTCCAATAGTCTGTTTAGGAAAGATTCTTTCTCTTTCTATTTAGAATTATGTTTCAGTTTATAGGCAAGAACATTGCCCTATCAAATACTTTTAATTTAATTTAAAGGGATTAGTTTTCAAATGTAGCCGCTTCATCCATATGTCTCCAAAGTGAAAGGAGTATAAATTTTTTTAAATGACACGTTACAAAGGATTAAAATGGGGAAAAGACTCCTTGTAAGATGTTGTAGTAAGAGGAAGAATAAGATCATTTACATGTGCTATTGATTTACAATTGTGATTCTAAGTTTGATGGATTTGTAGTATCAGAGGAGGCAAGCAGTTGCATTTAAATGTATCTATTATCCCAGTATATATGCTATTATGATGGTAATTCTACATTACCTAAGGTGTATAATTCCAAGCACCAGATAAATGTGTCACTTGACAAAATAGTTTGTCTGAATTAAAAAGCATTCCTTTTGACAATTAAAAACATGTGCTCATGCAGTAGTATGTGCCTACTAGGTTTAAAAAGCTCTGGGAATTTATAGTGGAAAAATTCTTCAAAGAAAATATATATTGTTGCCAGTTAACTTTAAAACATGTCAAATGTTTATTACATTTAAAAATATTGAATTTTACGAGGCCAGACAAATAAGTTCGCAAACTTGTTGCAAGGATGTTGCTAACCTTTTTTTGATATCAGAGGGATTATTCATTATGAATTTGTACCAGCTGGACAAACAGTTAACCAAGTTTACTATTTGGAAGTGCTGAAAAGGCTGCATGAAAAACTTAGGAGACCTGAACTTTTTGACATCAGTTCATGACTTACATCAAGACAATGCACCAGCTCACAGGGCACTATCTGTCTGTGAGGGAGTTTTTAGCCAGTAAACAAATAACTGTATTGGGACACTCTCCCTACTCAGAAAAAGAGTTCCAAAATTGCTTTAAAGGGTGGACTAGGCACCGGCATTGGTGGATAGCTTCCCAAGGGGAGTACTTCGAAGGTGACCATAGCGATGTTCAGCAATGAGGTATGTAGCACTTTTTCTAGGATGAGTTTGCAAACTTGTCGGACCTCGTACACCCATTTTTAAAAAAGTTTACTTACAATTAATGTTAAAAATCTTTTTAGGGATTATTGGAAATATTAATTCTATCTTTGCATATTTCATGATGTGGAGGAGGAAGAAACATTCCTTTACCCTCAAGGCTTTTCTGGCAGGTCTAATAACCAAATGGCCCCGAGACAGATTAGCAAGAGAAAATAACCAAATTTAATGAGTACAAACTTAAAATATGGAAACCCCACAGACAACCACATGCATGTGGTTTGGAGACAGAAAAGGAACATGGGTATATAAGATATCCTGAGCTAGGGATCAAGTAGGTTACCTTGGGAGCTTCAAAGTGTCTTTGAAGAATGAGAAGAGCAGATACTTAATAGACGTTTTCCTTGCCATAGAGACTACTGCTGATAATCTCTTATTATGGGCAAGGCCCCTAATTTAAGTACTTCTAGGTAGCTAAAGGGAGGGGCAGAAGTTTCTCTTGAGCCTTAAACTTAATAGTCCTTAGCTCAAAACAGTCAGCAAACCACACAAGCACATCTTGGCTGGTAGAAGTGAGATATAAAACCCCCACAGTAGTTTTTTGAACCCCCAAAGTTTTCAAAATTAGCTTTGCAACTATTTTGTAATATCAGTTATTTTGTAAGAAACACTAACATTTATATTGTATTGTTTTAAAACGAAAAGAAAACAAAATTTATAAATTTTTATGATGTGAAGAATTTTTTTTTATTTTTTCATAAAGTTTTAAAATCTAGGGAAATTATTTTTTTAATTAAGAAGAAATAAAAATAATGCCTTAATGCTTTTAAAAATAGTTCATTTTAAATATTTTTGGTTTTTATTTTAAAATGTATGGTTTTGATCCTATGTTGTTTGACTATATGAGCAATATACTCTAAGTTTTCCCTATTTACTTTTATCTCTAATTACTCTGATATTACTTCTAATGTGAGAGTTGTCAAGGTATAGCCCTGAATGATAAAATGTTTTCTTAAAAGGTTCTATGAAAACCTAACTATTGTTAGTGTACTTTGTTCTATGCCATCCCTTTTAGAGAATCAAGTATAAATAGGCTGCATTTGATAGAAGTAAAATAAATGATAATGACTTTAAAAAATTGTAATCTACATTGATTTAGCTGCTAAACTTCAGCAGTAAGTTTAGTAACTTATTTTATGATGTTTGCAGGGAGTGGGAAAGTGAAAAAAATATCATTTATTAGCCAGTCACCTGCATTTGCTATAACAATGCACAGGTAAGATACTATAAGAAAAGGATCACAAGAGCATCCGTTTGAGAATATCTCATTACTTGTGTATAAAGTATTCTATCACACTTAATAAAACAGTCAGCTGAGCAGTTCTGCGTGGGGGTAAATGACAGGAGAACAGCATAGAATTAATCCACAGTTCTTTCAGTTTTAACAGACTTTTAGCTGTCGCTGAATATATTCAAAACAAATATCTTTTACAGGAATAAATCTCAACTGCTAACACCGAGGACTATGGAAAATTTAGTTTGCGACTAAGTATATATTTCCCTCCTTTAAATCCTTAAAACAGAAGCTTTCTCAGTGAACCTTTGTCCTCTTTTAAATGCAATACATGTCCACTGTATTTTTTCTCCCAGTGTCTACTACATTCAGCAATCTTGTTTCCTTAGGCCAGTGACATATGTTGCGAGTTGGTAACAAAGCTCCCATCTCAGAAATGTCAAACTAAATGAATAAGGCAAAATCACAGAAAATAAGTCTATCCTGTGAGATGTCTGAGTTCCCAGGCCCTGAATGTACTTCTGATTCATCTGCCTACCTGCACTCAGGGAGGCACACTGGCACTTGTCTAGCTAGCCTATGTCCCTGAGCGTCAGTGCCTCAAAAGAATATTTCTAAGAAATATCTTAGAGTCAAAATGCCCTGCCTCCCAGAGAAAGCTGGTCATAACTAAAAGTAGGAATGGTGGAATAAATCCAGTTCTCTAAATCTTTCACTTGTAAAAAAAAATTAACTTCAACCAAATATTTAAAGAAGAAGCTTATTATGTCATTTATAACTGTACTATGACATTTTTAATGTGTACATAACACCAATAGTGATTGATGAATAGTAAAATATGTTGGAATAATAACTTGCTCACTAAAATTAGGAGAACAATATTAACTTGGAAATAACTCATTTTAATTTTGTTTTCGATGCTGAGGATATAACATCTAGTGCATAGAAGAAATTCTAAGCATGCAATTTCAGAGTTTAACTTGAAAACTTTGATAATTGAGTAGGACGAAAATAGGACAAAATAATGATGCTTTTTCTGAAGACTACCTGCTGTACCAGCTACCTAGGCCTCCAGGTTTCTTATGATTAGTATTTGATGGTACATCTTTCTTCCATCTTTCTACTTTTAACCTATAGTTGTCTCTATATTTCAAGTGAATTTATTTTAGATATAATGTAGTTGGTTCTGTTCTTTAGTCTATTTCTATCTTTTAATTGAATTTTTAAATAATTTTTATAAAATATTTAATGTAATTATTGATATATATATATATATATATATATCTTTAAATAAACCATCTTGCTATTTGTTTCCTACTTGTATCTGTACTTTATTCATTTTCACACTCATTTTCTTTTGGGTTCAGTAATTTTTAGCAGGTGTCCATGTTATCTCCTGCTAAAGAGAGATATTTTACAAGATAGAATATTTTACAAGATAGAATAGCAACTTTCCGAACTCCAACTGGAAGAGGGCACTTGACCTAATGGTAGACACCACAGACAATGGCAATTGGTTTCAGCATAGTGTGATGGGAAAAGATAAAGTAGGTCAGTCCTGTGTTCTCTCAGGGGCATCTTAGTGAGGAAATAGGGAAAGGATTTCCACTGAGTAGTAGGTGCTGAAGATGAAAGGTCATGACATAAAAGCCAACACCAAAGGAGCTGTGCTGTATCATCTGCATGCCAATATTATGAATAATTTGAAACTTCAATCAGGAAAAGATGTTTGCAGGTAGAAACAGGAGGAAAAACTATATGAGAAGGTACTATGGGAGGAAGATGGCCGGCCATTCATGGGTAGCTAGACCACCCTGTCTTTCAGATGCTTCTCAGTTCCAATCCCAGTGTATGTATATGCCAATAATAAGTACAGTGTTCTTAGAGTAACAAAAAATATGAGTACATGTTGACATATGTAATGTCACTGCAATTATTTGGGGCTTAGTTATATCACTAAAAAAGTAAGAGAAAGAAAATTCGTGTTTCTTATATTTTCTAACTAGTATAGAAAAAAATGATAGCAAGAAAAAAATGAGTATAAGTATATATTTTATTATACCTGGTTAATATATAACCATGGGAATAATTGTTTAAATGGTCATCATAAATATTAAAATATTTAATGTACTTAAAAAGGTGATAATCATGCTGATTTTTTCTGACACAAATGTTTTGAAATAATTATAGCTGCCTCTGTTACCAGTCTGCATAATTTTCTTTCATGTTCTTTGTTTTATTTTTTAATGTAACTGGCATGTGTTTAAATGGATGACCGATTATGTAGCTGTGAATCAAAATAATTTGTTTTCTTTGAATCAGTTGAATATAAAAAGCAATTATATAATTTGTCTCATCTGCTAACTGCCTAGAAAAAATTTGATCATTGAAGCTCAATTTTACTTTAAGATTGGTCATCACATTAATTCATTTACTTTTTGGATCCTATCAATTCTTGTTCAAACATTTAAACACCTTAAAACAACAACAACATTAGCAGCAACTCTACTTTCCCAGGGGATTTAGAAAACTGTTCCTCCCTTGATTCTTTTATTTGAACTCATTAATTAGAAACTAGCATAATTTTATTTATACATTATGTGAAATAGAGTTATATGAAAAGCCAGAAGTGAGATGTTTTGTATCTTTTTCCTTTTCTTTTTTTCTTAACTTCTATTATGAGCAAATCCTTCAGACTCTCTTTATCACTGATTCTGATTTTCACTCTCTGAAGTAAGGATTGCTCATCCAAACCCATCTCATCTCTCTTTGCAGGATTCGAAGGGGAACACTGTGAAATTAACATGAATGAGTGCTCTCCCTTTCCTGTCAGATTTATGGTGACTGTGAAGCTGGAGTAAACAAGTTCAGGTAGAGAAAACCTATATGTATATATGTGCATATACATATGGATATATATATATATATATATATATATATATGTTTATGCATCTAGATATATCTAAATGTATGCATGATTGTAATTTCAATTGATGAAATTGAATATTTCTTATTAACAATTTGCTGTGATATAATTATGTGAAATTTGGACTTTATTCATTTACATCAATGGAGTTATTAAATTTCTTGTTTAAAAGGTGTGTTTGCATTCCCAGGTTTTCTAAACCTCCATGTGAAATTGAAACTGAGTGTTCCTCTAAACCTTGCAAAAATAATGGAATCTGTGTGGATCTGACAATCAGGTTAGAAGCTGTATTTTACTGAATCAATTATTTTGCATGTGAAATCTAACAAATAATAAAGTGACCATATATGTACTCATTATTCAACTTAAGAAGCAGATATTACCAATGCCCATGAGCTTGTCTCCAAATAGTCCTTAACTCTCCTATCCAATTGTATTGGATATCCTAGATGTATGTGTACCACCTTGCCCTTAATATGTAAGATTAACTGTATGTGTGCCTGAACAAAACACTTTAATTTCCACATTAATATAACTAAAATAATATTGTGTTTAGTCTTCTGAAAGAATATGTCTCATGGAATAGGACATTTATGCATCATCTGTTAATGCATGCATCTGCTGCTCATTTTTAATAATTGTAGAATATGCCATTTAAATATCTGCCAGTATTTATTTATCATTCTCCTGGCATGGATTTTGGGGTCATTTGTCTCTTTGTTCTTTGAAATAATAACACTATTAAAGATTTCAAATGTTTCTCCAAATATACAAGTACTAGTGTTACTCTAGTGTTCATACCTAGAAATAGAATAGTTGAAAAATTAAGTAGACATTTTTACATTTACTGTGTCATGTTTTTTGTTTTTTAATTTCATTTGGAATATTCACACTCACCAGAAGTGAATAAATATTTCTATTTTGTCAGAATATTCCATTTGTGCTTATCTCTCATGTGTAAAATTATATCTCCTGGTGGCTTTTCTCTGTATTTCCATCATAATGATGAGGTTCAGTATTTTTTCATACATTTCAAGATACTCATTTTCTTCCTTTCTAGAAATGCCTATTTATGGCATCTGTCTATTAATGTTCCCCTCTTATGAATTTGTAAGACTTTATATATTCTACTTATTAATACTTTTGTTAGTTATATTACTGAAAATATCTTCTACTAGTTGTGGCTTGATATTTACCTCCTTTATGAAAAGTTTTGAGTACTAAAACTATTGGGTTGTTGGAAAAGTCATGATGAATTGTTTCTATGTTTTTCGTTGCAAAAATACGTCATGACTTTCCCAACAATCCAATGATTTTAATGTAGTTGAATTAATCAATACATTTGTATATGGTTTGCTTTTTTGTATCTTGTTTAAAAATATTTACCTTAGAGTAAAAAGATGTTTCTTACATTTCCTTTTAAGATAATTAAAGTTCTGTCCTTCATATTTAAAACTTAATTTAACTAGAATATTTGTGAGTGTAGTATTAGGTAGGATCCTAAGTTTATTTTTTCTGTGTGAATAACCAGTTTTCCTGCTACATACATTGAATCAGGTTAATCTTTTATTCTTTGATTTGCCTGATATACAATGCCTTCTTGGTCGCAGACCAAGTTCCCATATATAAATATGGCTATTTCTCTGTCTTTATTCTGTTTTTTTAGTTCAGTTAGTCATCCATATTCTAGGCCATAAATCTTAATTACTTGCCATTGAAAAATTTCAGTACTGCAAGGACAAGATATGTCATATCTTTAACCTTCTTCAGGAAGCTTTAATTGTATTTGACAAATATTTTTCTGTTACAATTAAGTAAGTTCTGCATGAATCCCTATATCCAAGCAAGCAAACAAACAAAGACCATGTAGAATTTTGTTTGAAATTCTGTTAAATTTGTAGGTCAATTTGAGAAGAATTGATATTCCTTTATTTGTATGTCTTTTAAAAGATCTTTAGAAAAACAGTTAAACAGATTCACTTGGGCATTCATTGATTAGGGTAAAAAAAATTCATTTGCTGGGTCACAGTTGCTCTCTAGGTGCCCAGCGCTATGTTTATTCGTCTTAATAGAAGTCCAACATAAATGCTGTTGAAATTTATATCACAATCTGCTTAATTTTTCTCTAAATTTCTATTATTTGTCTCATTTTATGTAGCTTTTGCACTATCTAGTCTGGTGAAGTAAATGAGGACATGTTTTGAATATCCAACCCTGCAACTCTCAAGCCTTTTAAGGGGACACTAATTACTATAAGTTCCATAGGAATACAGAATTTTCTTCAATTTAAAATCTTTATGCATATGAAAGGACAGTTCAAAATCTTCCAATTAGGCTTTCCTCCATAATAGCTCCTATTCCAATGTGGAAATTCTATTACTAAGTATATTGATTTCGCTATACATTTAGGGACTATGGGGAAAAAATAACCAAAAAAACAAAAAATGAATTTGTGATCCACTTACCAGACTTAAGTAATCTTACATTCCTACTGATGAAGCATTTTTTTTTCAAAGATAAGCATGAGTTCAGAGCCAGTATCCAATAACTCCTAAAAGGTCTGCATATCTTTCTTTTATCAGTGAACAGTCATACTGGTAAATGGCCTCAGAGCCCCCTAAGGAGGCTTCAGGAAGGTAACATGTAATACCTGTGACTGTATTGAAAGATTTCACTTCAGAGGGGCTTCCTATCCTTCAGTTCAGCGACTGAGCCTATGACATAGCTTAATTTTGAAATTGTATAAGAGCCTAAGAATTTTTACAAAGACAATTAAATTATGTTTCTGTCCTGCAGACTTATATTATATATATATATATATATATATATATATATATATATATATATATATGTGTGTGTGTGTGTGTGTGTGTGTGTGTGTATATATATATATATATATATATATATATATATGTAGCACAATAGCAGATTGTCCATATATTTAATTTCTAGTAACCCATCACTGATTAGCCACTGCCAAGGGTGTCTGTGAATCAATCCATCAATCACCATTCTGTTTCTCTGATTTATGTGGTTATTTGCTAATTTTCTATCTGATAGGCAAGTATATCCAACAGCCTTGATCTATTCTTGGATCTCATTATTCTAATTCACATTAGGGAATTCAGTTTTACCACAGCTTCCCACATTGTTATCTCTAGCTATCAAGGACAATCACCACAGAGCTCATCAAGGCTTTGTGTCCCCTCGCCAAGCCTGTTCTTAAGGTTGGTGAATGGAGTGCCCTCCTGAGTGGATGGAGTTTCTTCCTAGGAGATTGGAATGCCTCCTATATTCTATGAGGTTAGAAATTAAGTGGTAACTGATTTGCTTATGCATACTAGATTCATTCAAACATTTCCATAGCATTATGAACTGCTCCCACTGTTAGATTTATATCTAATTATTTAATTTGAGGGCCACTAATAACATATAATGATGTATTAAAACATATTTTGAAGAATGCATACCATCCTAAGAATAGTGATTTGTTTTCTATAGAAATAAATGGAGAAGAATTATTCTGAATGTATAAAAAGAGGTTTCAAATATATCCATGTTTTACATTTTTCTTAAAAATTCTTCAGCAGCTTGTAAAATATTGAGATGTGTTAATATGGATAAAGAGTATATAGGCATTGATTATTCTATCCTCAGAAAATTACTTTGTTTAAATTGTTATAATAAAAGCCATTTCCAATGCATTTAAATGTTTAAAAAGCAAAAAAAAAAATTGACGAACAGCTGAAAAATGAGTAATCACAATTTTATATTCCATCTGTGTTGCAAGAATATATTTTTATTTATTAATTATTTGAATTAAAGTTATTGGGGTGACATTGGTTAATAAAATTATATAGGTTTCAAGTGTACAATTGTATATATTCTATATATTACACTATAATATATACATCTATATATTACACTGTGTGTTCACCACCCATAAGTTCTCCTTCCATCACCATGTATTTGACCCCTTTGCTCTTTTCTACCTACTCCTCCTCTCTTACCCTCTGGTAACTACTAAACTGTTTTCTGTGACTATGAGTTTTGCTTATTCATTTGTTGCTTTTAATGCTATATCCCACATATGAGTGAAATCCTATGATTCTTGACTTTTTCTGTCTGACTTATTTCACCTGGCATAATAATCTCAAGATTATCCATGTTGTCACAAATTCACTATTTCATCTTTTCTAATAGCCGAGTAATACTTCATTGAATGTATGTACAACATCTTTATACAAACATCTATCAAAAGACACTTTGGTTGTTTCCAGGTCTCAGCCACTGTGAATAATGTTGCAATGAACATAGGGGTACATAAATTTTTGAGGATAAATGTTTTCAGATTTTTTTAGGTAGATACCCAGAAGAAGGATTGCTGGGTTGTATGGTACTTCCATTCTTAACTTTTTGGAGAAATCCCCTCACTGTCTTCCATAGCGGCTGTACCAATTTACATTCCCACCAGCAGGGTATAAGGTTTTTTTTTCTCCACAGCCTCTCCAACATTTGTTATTACTTATCTTGTTGATAATAGCCATAAAAACAGGTGTGAAGTGGTACCTCATTGTGGTTTTGATTTACATTTCCCTAATATATACTGAAGTTGAGAATCTTTTTACATATCTGTTGGCCATTTGTATGTCATAGGAGAAGTGTCTGTTCAGGTCCTCTGACTGTTTTTTATTGGATTGTTTATTTTACTGTTGTTCAGTTGTATGAGTTCTTTATATATTTTGGATATTAGTCCCTTAATGGAGGTGCTGTTTGCAAGTATCTTCTCCCGTTTGGTTGGTTGCCTCTTTGTTTTATTAACTCTGCAGTAGATTTTTAGTTTGATATAGTCCCATTCACTTATTTTTGCTTTTACATCCCTTGTCTCTGAGGCCAAATTCATAAAATCCTGAACTTGAAGCCAATAATTGTACCTACATTTTCTTCCATGCAATTTATTGTTTCAGGTCTTATATTTAGGTCTTTGATCCATTTTGAGTTAATTTCGGTACACAGTGACAGACAGGAGTCTAATTTGTTCTTTTGTATTTGGCTTTCCAATTTTCCCAGCACCATTTATTGAAGAGTCTTTCTTTTGTCCATTGTACATTTTTGGTTCATTTGTTGAAAATTATCTATCCATCTATATGTGGGTTGATATATGGGTTCTCAAATCTTTTCCATTGGTGTGTGTCTGTTTTTCTACTAGTGCCATGCTGTTTTGACTATTGTTGCTTTGTAGTATAATTTGAAGTCAGGAAGTATGATAACTTCAGC